TTCTTTGTTGCTGTCCTCTTCCTCCACTTCTACTTTTTCTGCTGGACGACTATGTTGATGCAAAAATTCACGTGCCTTTTCAACAGAGTCAATTTTTTCTTTCTTGTCCATAAATTTAAAGATTGCGTATTCGGGCACAATCCATCTGTAGGGGATGTTGTTCTTCTGTAGAAATAATACCAAGTCTCTATATTTTCTTCTTTTCCTTCTTATTTCAAACGGGATGTCCTTCAACACTTTTATTTCTTTGTCTTTGATTTTCAAAGTAGATCTATTTGTCGCTTTGAGTATTTGATCTCTCATTTGTCTTCTGGAGAATTTTATTATAACTTCCCCTGACAGATTATTCTTTCTTGTAAATTCTGGATACCACCTACAGATCGTATCAATTTCGCTTTGTAGTATATCCGTTTTTATATCTGCCATAGGGCCTAATAAATCACACATAGCCTGTTTCAGATTCTCTCCCTTCTCTTCCGGAACACCTTGAAATATTAAGACATAGCTTGCTCTCTCCATTTGCAGCTGTAACACATGAGACTCCTCCGTCAGTCTCTTTTTTTCCATCGCCTGCTATTGTTTTTTAAGCTTCTTAGTATTGGCATCCACCTCTTTCACTTCTTTTCTTGTTCCTTTTTTTCTGTTTTTTTGGCTATCTCAGTTAATTGGGTTTGCTGTGCATCGAACTTTTGATGCAGTGCTGTGACTTGTTCCAGCAGAGGGCGCAGTGCTTCCATCAGCATCTTTTTCAGCTCTGTAGTTGTGTCCTGTCTGGGCACAGAACTCGCTGGGTTGGCAGTTCCAGCAAGAAGCTTAGGTTTCACTTGCTTATCTTTCTCATCCTTCCTTGTGGGCGCCATGTTTGGGAAATTGTTTACTTTTTGTAAAACGTTGTCACAGTCTCTGGTACTCTTATATCAGCCTGGTAAGTTCTTAAATGCTTTTTATTTCAGTCCATCTTGGTTCATTAGCCTGCCCCCCTTTTCGTAATGGCTCAAAGTTCACTTAGTTTTTCTTAGCAGGGGAGAGTTCCCTCCCCCCTCTCGCTTTCAAAGGGGAGGTTTTCGGCTCAGTCTTCAGTGTTTTTTGCTTAAACGTTAACTCACATTTCAACAATAAATCCGCTTTTGTTTTCAGTTCGCTCGGCCACCAAACACTTGTTCCGGTGTACAATTTCTAATTCCTATTTGGGATGCTTCGCAGTGGGACCTTCGGGGCATGGAGAAGCTCCCCTTCACCAGCAGGGTTGCTGGAGGAAGAGCTCTCTAGCACCCCATGGCTGGGAGCCCAACACAAGGGCTCCGGGTGTGGCACAGACAGTCGCACCCCCTCCCCACCATGGGCTCTGGCAGCCGTCTCCCGGAGCACCGGGAGAAAGCGGCTGCCATGGTGAATGTCAAAACCGGAAGTTCCGAGGTTTTTGGTTTTTGAGCTGCTCTGACCAATGCGCAAAAGCTCGGTTTTTTTTCCAACGAACATGTGATCCCTGAGTTACAGCTCACAAGCCTCAAAACCGGCAAAATTCAGCCAAAACTTTAGTTCATCAAGTGGTCTGTGCCCATCCCTTTTGACAACTAGTTAGGGATGTGCCTCTTGTGACTAGGTTGATGTTAGCTAAAAATTGGGCCCTTTCTGCACTGACAGCTTGCTCCGGAGAATTCAAGGAGTTAAGCCTTAAGGGTTGACTTCAGAGTCACAAGCATTCCCTCTGCACTGTTTCCCCCCCTCTGGTTTATTTATTTGTGTATTCTGTATGCATTCTGCATCTACAAGCAAACCCCACATTTTTTAAGGTAACTGGCTACCAACCCCTCCCTCCCTCCCGCTGTGATTCTGCAAAAAGAAAGGGAATGGAGGGAGAAATCCAGGCCCACATACATGCAAGACTGACACATTTGGGATCAGGGAATTCCCTAGTACTTTATATTTACTGATTCCTTCTTATGCTTTCTCTGGGTTTTTAAAAGTTTGCCTGAGCGGGAGGACATGTTTGTCTTTGGAGAAGAAAGGAAAGAAAACAGAATGGAGAGGGAACGTCAACCTAAAGAGAGAGAAGCAGAAATGGGGGAGGGCAGTGGGCAGCACTTAAATACCCACAGAAATAATTCTACTTTAGAAGGGATTCGTGATTTGAAAGCGGATGAGAACAAAGAATCGCAGCAAAAGTAGTTTTGGTAGCTGTGGAGCAACAGTGTGCTAGAAGTGGTTTGAATGCAGATTCCTGTAAAACAAATGCAGACACAAGATAAAGCCCCAACACAAACTGGAAGTGAAAGTGGGAGGGAATGCAGAACGGAAGAATAGGATGTGCTTGGAAACTGAGGCAAAATACAGGTGAAGAAAGGCCTTGGAAAACTGGAAACAGGCCTTAGGAACCCAATATTAAGAAATAGCTAAGAAAAATTGGAACACGGTATATATGAAAACAGTTGAATCCAGTCAAAGGTGGAAGGATTTCTGTCAGCAGAGGGTAACTTGTTTGCTTCCTTCCTTACACTGCCACCCAAATCCCCCCGCCATTTTGCTTCTGGGGTGTGAGGAACCTGTGAGATCAGCAGAAGTGGGGGAGCCTGTAAGAACCCTGTAAGAACAGCGGAAGTTTGCAGTGTGTGGGAAGATGTGGGGGTGTGGATATCCCCTTTTGTCAGTGGAAATCCTCTGTGATAGCCAGCCCAAGGAATATAGTTCTATGCAGAGTATTCCAGTAAGTCCAAAGAAATCAGCGTGTTCAAACTCTTCAACAGATGAGCCAGTGGTGTTTGTGTCTGTGATTTTTTCCTCTCAGTTTTGAGATCATTTGAAAACATTTCCTTAGACATGGAAATGACTGGTTTAGGGATTACAAGCAAATACTGTCAGAATTTTCTTGTTTTAATAACTTGCCTTCCTCTCTCCATTTGTATCTTTTAATATATATGAAGAAAGAAAGGAGGAGGGTGAAAGAAAATGCAAGATCCATAAGTAAATACCTTAATGGGGAAAAAAGCTGATAGTTCTTGGGTCTGTTTTTTCTGACCTGTGTCAGCAGCATCATTGTATGAAAACAAAAAAATGGGGGAAAACCTTTCCCTTGCCTTTGAATCAGTGCCTTCCGTGACAATGCCAGAGGGGTAGCCATGTTAGTCTGTTATAGCAAAATAAAATAGAAGTCCAGGGGTAACTTAAAGACTAAAGATGCATCTGAGTCACAAAAACTCATGCTGGGATGAAAGTTTGAGTCCAGTGTCACGTTTAAGACCAACACATTTTAATTCTGGGCATATGCTTTTGTGCGCATGCTCAGAATTAAACTTTGTTGGTCTTAAAGTTGCCTCTGGGCTTTGTTCTATTACTTCAGACCAACACAGCTACCCATCTGGAATAAAAGTTGTTAGTCTTTAAGGTGCCCTTGGACTTCTGTCTAATTTGGAGGGCACCTTTGAGTTGTGTCAGTTTAACATGACTCTGATTTTAACCAGTGTCTTCAGAAATGTTGTCAGAAGAGCCTGTTGTCTTTATGGTGTGACCATATCTTCCTGTGTAGGTTCTCTTCAGTGAATGTTTTCAACCTTCCTTCATTTTTGTCTCAACAAGGACAGTGTCAAACTTGCTCCTGTTGTGAGAAATGCCCTTTTGGGTGTTCTTGTGTTTCCCTAATTTGTGAAAAACAATACATGATCTCTCTCTCTCTCTCCCTTTCTCTCATTTTGTTTGGAATTAAAACATACATTAAAAAAAGCTTCCTCAAACTCATTTCTCAGGACGATGGGAAATTCTTACGCTGGGCAACTCAAGACAACACGCTTTGAAGAAGTGCTCCATAATTCTATTGAGGCCTCTCTCCGGTCAAACAATTTAGTTCCTAGGCCTGTTTTTTCACAGCTGTATTTGGAAGCGGAGCAGCAGCTTTCTTCTCTTGAAGGTAAGCAGCGTTGATTTTGGAACTTTTATTCAAATATGCATTTTCTATTTACTGTTAAGCAGATGTGTATAAGATCATAGCCTTAGGCTCTGTTATGGAATCCCAAAATGCATCGTCTATAGTTGCTTTTCTGGCTATCTTCGTAGGGTTGCCAACTCCCCTTTGACTACCAGAAGGGGTGGTTGGTGTAGAGTTGCCAGATCCAGGTTGGGAAACTGGAGATTTGTGGATGGAGCCTGGGGAGGACAGTGGCATACATTGTCATAGAGTCCACCCTCCAAAGCATCCACTTTCTCTAGATGAACTGATCTCTGTAGTCTGGAGATGAGGAGTAATTCGGGGGATTCCACCTGGAGGCTGGCATCCCTATAAGATGAGATAAAATCTCTTAACAGATTTCTTTTGTGATTCTAATCCACATGATGTTAAAAAGTATTTGCGGGTTGCGAGGCACTATAGGTCAGCCATCAGAGAGGCCAAAGCTCATAGTGAGCTAAAGTTGGCCAAGGAGGCTTGCTACAACAAGAACATCTTTTTCAGATATGTGAGGAGCTAATAAAAGATTAAAAAAGGCAATGGGCCCACTGTTGGGTGAAAATGGAGAAACTCTGACAGGGGTCAGAGAGAAAGCAGAAAGGCTTAATGCCTATTTTGCCTCAGTTTTTCCCCCTGAAGAAGAGAATGGACTCATCTAGAGATGGCAGTAGGCAAGGCATGGCATCCAGGCTCTTGGTTGACATGGACAGAGAGGTAGCTGAGACGCAGCTGGCTGCATTGAATGAATACAAACCCCCCGAGCTAGATGGTATGCACCCAAGAGTGTTCAAAGAACTTTCTAGAGAGCTTGCAGAGCCTCTGTCCATCATCTTCCAGACCTCTTGGAGGACAGGAGATGTGCCACAAGACTGGAGAGGGCAGATGCTATCCCAATTTTCAAAAAAGGGAGAAGGAAATTACAGGCCAATCAGTCTGACCTCTGTCCCAGGGAAGATACTGGAGCAAATTTTAAAGGGATTGATCTGTGAGTATCTAAGGACAACTTGGTGATCCGGGGAAGTCAGCATGGATTTGTCCCCAACAGGTCCTGCTAAACCAACCTCATTTCCTTCTTTGATTGAGTGACGAGCTTACTGGTTTGAGGGACTGCTGTTGGTGTTGTTAACCTGAATTTCAGTAAAGCTTTTGACACGGTTCCCCATGATGTTCTGATGGGTAAACTAGAGGACTGTGGATTGGACTCTAGGATAGTTAGGTGGATAGGGAACTCGTTGGAGAACCATACTCAAAGAGTAGTTGACAATGGCATTTCATCTGAATGGAGGGAAGTTTCCAATGGGGTGCCACAGGGCTCGGTTCTGGGTCTGGTACTTTTCAATATTTTTATAAATTATCTAGATGAGGGTGTGGAGGGGCTACTCCTTAAATTTGCAGATGACACCTGTCATGACCCCAGCGGGTTGCCACCTTCTGCCACCACCACCCTGGACTTCGGTCCCTTGAGAAGGCCCAGGGTACTTTCCCAAGCCCTTTCAAAATGCCCCTTTGTAGCCGAGAACATAAGCGTGATGACCAGGCAGAGGAAGAGTGGAACAAAAAGGGTTTATTATTACAGTACTGGGGCAAGGAAAAACAAGACAAGGTGCTTTAAAGGTATAAAAGGTAAAGGTTCCCTTGCTCGAAAGCCAGTCAAGTCCGACTCTAGGGTTGCGGTGCTCATCTCCGTTTCAAAGCCGAAGAGCCAGCGCTGTCCGAAGACGTTTCCGTGGTCATGTGGCCGGCATGACTAAACACCAAGGCGCACGGAACGCTGTTACCTTCCCACTGAAGTGGTACCTATTTATCTACTTGCAATTTCTTGCTTTCAAACTGCTAGGTTGGCAGGAGCTGGAACTAGAGATGGGAGCTCACTCCGTCATGCGGCAACTCGGGTCTTGAACTGCTGAACTACTGACCTAACGTGACTAAGGCATACAGCCATCTATAAACCAGGCTTGTCCTATACTCACTCTCCCAGTGAGGGAACGTTTTCCCAGACCAGTCTCCTCAGTTCACTCCTGTGTGAGGCAAGACCGCAGCGAAAAGAACGTCAGTTAAACTGCCCACCATGTATAAGAACACATCTCCTCAGAGACTTCCAGTATCCCCATTGGTTGCAGCTGGTTCTAGGCATTGTGGGAATTGTAGGCAGCTTGCTTTCTACTACCACACAGGCCTCTCCTGGGCCCTAGGCCTCAGGCTTTTCTCCCAGTCATGCACAGATCTCCAGAGGCCTACACAGATCATGACAACACCAAATGGGGAGGAGCAGCGAACACACTAGAAGTTATAGAATTCAATGAGATCTGAACACACTGAAAAAGTGGGCAGAAGTGATCAAGATGCAATTTAACAAGGAGAAGTGCTGAGTTCTACATCTTGGTAACAAAAATGAGGAACATGCATATTTGATGGAGGATACACTTCTGGGTAGCAGTGTGTGTGTGAACAAGATCTTGGGGTACAGGTGGACTGAATGTTAAATATGAGCAGCCAGTGTGATACAGCGACAAAAAAGGCTAATGCAATCTTGGGGTGTATCAAGAGAGGCATAACATCCAAATCGCAAGATGTCACAGTCCCGCTGTACACTGCATTGGTCAAGCTGTACCTGGAGTATTGTGTGCAGTTCTGGAGGCCTCGCTTCAAAAAGAATGTGGACAGAATGGAGTGCGTGCAGAGCAGAGTGTTATGATTGGGGGCCTGGAGACCAAGCCCTTTGAGGAAAGACTGAGGGACTTGGGAATGCTTAGTCTGGAGAAGAGGAAGTTGAGAGGGAACATGATTGCTCTCTAAGTATTTGAAAGGCTGCACTTAGAGGAAAGTAGGGAGCTGTTTCTGTTGGCAGCAGAGGATAGGACTCACAATAATGGGTTTAAAGTAAGGGTGGGAAGATACTGGCTGGATATTAGGAAACACTTTTTTACAGTAAGAGGTGCGCAACAGTGGAATCAGTGGAATCAGCTGCCTAGGAAGGTGGTGAGCTTCCTCTCCCTGGCAGTCTTTAAACAGCGGCTGGACAAACACTTGTCAGGGATGCTCTAGGCTAATTCTGCATGGAGCAGGGGGTTGGAGTAGATGGCCTTTGTGGCCCCTTCCAGCTCTGTGATTCTATGATGCTATTATTCAGTTCAGCCAAAATGAACAGAATTTAGTTCAATATAATGCCTTAATTTGTAATGCAAAGTATTACTATTTTGTATTTTTAGACAGCCTTGATTTTGGGAATGAGTTAAAAAATAGAACTTCTGACCATATGCTTTGTTTTGAGCTTTGTTAGATTAATTTTAAAATTCTGTATGCTGTGGTTATAATTTTTCAATATAGTTTGGGATTTCATGGCAAATAATATTATTTTATTTTACTTTCACTTTTATTCTTTGCATCACCCTTGGGGATGTGGAATGTTTAGGCACAAGGCTCAGATTCCCCTGGCAGACTCAATGGGTTATTTTCATGAACAATGAAGCCTTTTTTAAAATAAGTTTTTTCAAAAAAACTTTTTTTAAAAGTTGCTAAACTTCAGAAGATTTTGCAGATCTGACTTCATGCAGGCATCATTAGCCTTTTGATCTCCTATAGAATGGCACTCTATGCTCATGCTGCAAGGAAAAGTAGAGATAAGGCTACGGAATGACTGTACTTTCAGAATGTGCTATTTGAGAAATCTGATTTTAAAACTTATACTCATACTTCATCTATATATTTTAATTTTCTTCTAAATGTATTGCCAATCTTTGTACTGTTTTTTATCTTTTATATTGTGATGGCCATTTGTTGTTGTTCAGTTGCACAGTCGAGTCCGACTCTTCGCGATCTCATGGACCAGATCATGCCGGGCCTTCCTGTCTTCCGCCGTCCTCTGAAGTTTGCTCAATTTCATGTTCGTTGCATCTATGACACTGTCTAACCATCTCATCCTTTGCCGTCCCCGTCTTCTTTGACCTTCAATCTTTCCAAGCATCAGGGTCATCTTCTCATTTGGTGGCCAAAGTATTTGAGCTTCAGTTTCATTATCTTTTAGGATTGACTGATTTGATCTTCTTGCAGTTCAAGGGACTCTCAAGAGTCTTCTCCAGCACCATAGTTCAAAAGAATCTATTCTTCGGCGCTCGGCCTTCCTTATAGTCCAACTCTCGCAGCCATACATGACTACTGGGAATATCATTGCTTTGACCATGCGGACTTTTGTTGGCAGGGTGATGTCTCTACTTTTTATCATGCTGTTTAGGTTCGCCATCGCTTTCCTCCCAAGGAGCAGGCATCTTTTAATTTCATGGCCATTGGCTACATGCAATAAACTTTGAACTGAACATTAGCCTTTTGGTGCAACTGTTTCCTCCTGCCAATTTCTGGTTTCTCTTTATTGTTTGGAAAATGTTTCCACCTTTGTATGTGTACATATCTTTTCAAAGCTATCTAATGGCCATGTGGGAAATATAATTATTGATGGAGTATGGCAGTCTTTAGGAGCTGCGGTGGCTCAAGTGGTTAAGACACTGAACTGCAGGCTGTTGAAAGTCAGTAGTTCAGCAGTTCGATACCCGGGTGCTGCATGATGGAGTGAGCTCCCATCTCTAGTTCCAGCTCCTGCCAACCTAGCAGTTCAAAAGCAAGAAATTGCAAGTAGATAAATAGATACCACTTCGGTGGGAAGGTAACAGCATTCCGTGCACCTTGGTGTTTAGTCATGGCGGCCACATGACCACGGAAATGTCTTCGGACACCGCTGGCTCTTCGGCTTTGAGACGGAGATGAGCACCGCAACCCTAGAGTCGGATTCGACTGGCTTTCGAGCAAGGGAACCTTTACCTTTACCTTTATGGCAGTCTTTACTAACGTATGCTGCAAAATCATTCAGATGTTATTTCAAATAATAGTGTACAATGTCATACAGATATTTGCCACCCATGGAAAAACCCTGTTCAGGAACCAATCTGGTTATGCATTTTAAATTTAATCCT